ATTTACAAGTAATGTTACATTCATAGGTACCAAATTTTTTTTGGCAGGGGGACATAATTTAACCCACAACCTTGGTAAATGAGCGGGAGTAGCAAATGAAGAATATGTTGCCTCAAATTTAAAGCCACTATGCATCATGCCTTTTCTGGTTGTAGGAAGGCGGATGCCACAGCTTATTCTTCACCTTAGAGGGGACATCTCAACATGCCCATACCACTGACAATTTCACTGGGGTTGAAAGCCCTTTCATTTTTGTCAGAATTATTTCCCAACCTCTGACATACAAATAAATACCTTACCGGTATGTCTTGAGTAATTGCTGCTACTTCTTGTGAGGTCCAAGTAACATCAATGCAATGGACCAGGCATGATGGTTTGAAGGGAAAAGTGATCAAGGTCCCTAAGGACTAAATTATGACCTAGGACTGGAAAGTTGATACATACCTCTGAAGTAGGAGAGCGAAAGTGTATTGCTAGTTTTGCTAGCTGAAAGCAAATGGTTTGGGTGGTTTTTACTAACAGGTATCCAGGAAAAGTGCATTTGCCAGATTAATAGCTGCGTGTCAGGTACCAGAGGATATGATACTTTGCTCAAGCTGGCCATTTGCAACTGGGAAGTAGTGTTACAGGTAGAGGTGTGAGTGGGGCAGAAGAGGGTTCTCCCCGCACCCACTAGAAATGTCGGGTGATGTGACATTTATCACACTGCCTCTCTAAAAATGATAATTCTGCAGCCAGGGAGAGACAATCTCCTGATGGTCCATGCCTGTTAACATTAAAAGTGTTGATTGAATGCAGGCTCCAGGGAGAACTTCCTGGGCCTGTGTGTTAAGAGACAAAAATGAGTAAAGTATGATCTTCCAGGGGCTCACTCCACCTGAAAAAGGAAGAAAGCCTCAGATGGGCATGCGTCTACCTCCCTAAACACACTGCACGTGCTCACGTCCCAAGGGTAAGGAGGGCTCTGCGCATGCAGGCAGCCCACCCTAAGGGAAGAATCATGGGAACGACTTGAGCTTATAAAAGTCCTAGGATCAGGATTAAACGGGGCACTTGACCTTCTCTCTTTAACCTTCATGTGCCCGCTTGCACCTTCCTTTTTCTCCTGTTCTAAGACCTTTTTAAATAAACTTCCATTCCTGCTCTGGAACTTGCCTTGGTCTCTTTTTCTGTGTTATGACCCTCAGTTAAATTCATTCTTCTGAGGAGGCAAGGACTGAAGTTTTTACAGCCCCTTATACATAGGCCACTGGTAACTTGGGGGTAACTCAGATCTTTTCCACTGGTGACAGTAGAGCAGGTGGGTAAGGCCACAAGCACAGCAACAGCAGAAATCAACATTTCTAATTTCCTCCAATCTGTTCCTTCTCTCAATTCCTGTTTAGTGAGTGAAATTATCAATCATCATCTAGACTTTAAACTTGGGGTAATTCTGGGCCCTTCCAGCTTCCTTAACTTCCGTATGCAATCAGTTACCAACTTTATAGAGTTAATTCAGAAACTTATCTAGAACCTGTCTTCTCCATCCTACCTGATACTGCCTTAGTTGCATCTCTTGTCACCTCTCTCAGGATATTGCACTGCCGCTGGTCTTACTAGCACCCCTTCTCCTGACAAACCATGCAGTTATCTTCCTTGCCTAAAATATTTCAATAGCACCCCATTCTCACAGGATTGTGGCCCAGACTCGTGTGGAATAGCTTATAGGTCCTCTAAGATGCCAGGCTGCTTCCTTCAACTGGAAGGCCTTCACTGTACTCTAGTGATCCAGCTCCACCTCCTGCCCCACAGACCAGCACCAGTCATGTCTCCTTGTCTTTCAAAAACTCTTATCATTCAAGACTTCACTCAAATGTGACTACTTCAAAGTGTTTCTTGACAATGCCCCCTTCTCCTTTCCACCCTCCCATCTTGAAGGCAGGACGGCCCTCAGAATAGACATTTTCTTTCATGGGTCCTCTTTACTTAGACAGAATTCAGCAACAGTGTCCATATTAATCATTTATATTTTTCATACCTTTAAATTTATTTTAATAAGCAGAGAACACATGCATACAGTGTTGTTGTAGAAAATTAAAGTAATACAGATAAACCAAAAAGCCTTCTTGATCTAGTTTTCCTAATCCTACACTGTTTGCTAATTAGACTATTATTCCAGACTGTTTTTTCACCAACACATCTTGGAAATATTTCCATGTAAGTGCATGCATATAGACCCATTTCTGTACAGAGTATAATTGCCACAGAATATTCCCTAGTATTGGTGCTCTGTTGTTTACTTTTCTTCTATTAATGAATGTTTTTTCTCCTAGTTATTTAGGTTGATAGGAGTTTCATCTCATTTCCATCTGGTGTGTCATTATTCTCTTCCTTCTCTTCTAGTGTTTTGCAGTAACAAACAGTGCCACAATGAATACTGTTTTGTACACCTTCTTATGTATAAATGCTAAGGACTTATTTTCTGGAGATACCTAAAAGTAGAAATTCCGGGTAGAAGATGTACATATTTAATTCTACATATTCTTGGCACAGTTTTGTACTTGGTAGTTTTTTCTCTTCTCATACGTTGGTAAGAATTCTTTGTATATTCTGAGGAATAACTCTCAGTCTGATATACAACACAAAGTGTGTATACATATTTTTCTCTCATCTTGCTTTAAAATTTGGTTTATTATGTCTTTTGTCCTATTTCATATTTTTATGTAGTGAATTTATTGTTTACAGTTTGCATCTGTCTTAGGAAGACTGTCCATATGCCAAGATTTACATTTTTTTTGTTTGTTTAGCTGTTTATATTACGTAGAATTTAGTTTTGTATATGTTAGATGTTATTACCTACTTTTATTTTTCCAAATTGATAGTCAGTTGGCCCATTAATTCCTACCCCAAATTGAAATGCCATTTTAATTAACTAAGTTTCTAAATATAGAAATTCATGGGACTGTTTCTGTACCTCGTATTAGGTTTTTTTTTTTTTATTTTGTTGCTTATTTCTGGGTCAATACTACACTGTTCTAGTTATTAGAGCTTTATCATCTAGTTTGTTATCTAATAAGAAATCATTCATTTTTTTAGCTGTCTTCTAGATGTTTGATGGATGGGACTGAGTAATTTGTCTGAATTTCATGACTTTTCATATAGTTTGCATCTGTGTATGTTAGATGATATAAATAAACCCAGAAGCTATCGGTGCTGCCCTTTGTATTTTCAGGGTCTCCAAAAGTTTATGACAAAAATAACGGCTTTTCAGGTTTTTACTCCTTTAGTAGCATAGTACTTGGAATGAGTTATTTCATAGGAATCTTACTTATTCAGCACCAAATTAAATAATGCATATGTGAGTACAAAGCTCAAAAGGTATAAAAGAGAAAAGTCAGGTCCCCTAGTTCTTAAAAGGCAATGATACTACCAGTTTCTTATTTAACCTGCCAGAATGGTCGCACATTATTCATCCCGTTCTGCAACTTGGTGTTTTCATTTAACAATAATGTCTTGGAAATCATTCCATATCAGCACATATGCTGTTTTGTAAAATGGCTGTGCTATGATTTACTTAACCTGATGGCAATTCAGTTGTTTTAGTAGATACCTTTCATATATAAACTTTCTGGCACATCTAGAATAAAAGTTCTGCACATGAAATTGTTGGGTCAAAGGGTATTTAAAATTTCAGCTTGGATTTATATTAAATTGCCCTCTAAAAAATTCCTTGAAATGTCACGAATGAAGACTCTGATGTCACTTGCTACCAGGCTTCAGACTTGCTTAGACATGCCCAAGCACCACAGGGAACATCATAGAGGCTGTAGCTGGGAGCCTGGTAGAGGAAGTGAGTGGAAGTATATATGCATGTACCCATGAATGTGTGTATGATGTACATGATAGGAAGTTAAGGGGAGACCTGTAAGTCAATGAATTACAGTCCTGCTTAAAGCTCTAGTAATCAGCAGAAGAATTAGTGGTTTGCATAAGGCTCTTTTGCCTTTATTATTCATTAAAACTGGCAGTAAATAATAGGTTTGAATTTCACAGTCCTGATGCTAATCAAAGCACAGACCTTTTCTTAACATCATAAATTATTATCCTTACAATAGCAGCATAAAGGGAATTTGGTTTTATGAATTGCTAACTGGGACACTAGCCTCTGTTTGGGTCTTGGACTGATACAGAGGGAAGAAGGCTGGCAATCACATCACGAAACTGGAACACTATCTTACAGTGGGGCACAGTTTACTCAATCTTATATCGTACCTACCTGAAGTTGGCTGGGATACCTGAACCAGCCCAGATTAAATAGCCCTTCATTGTCCATGTTAGCAACAGCTCATGATATTCAGAGGGAAAGAGATTTTTACTTCTAAGTAGGAAGAGGGCTTTGCCTGTGGGGCAGGAGGCTATTTTTGCTACACCATCTTAGCAAGTTGGTGCTGGTTTTAGATTGTGTACCCTCCCCTCCCCACTTGATCTCATTTCCATCTGGTACGTCATATTTCTCTGCCTTCTCTCCACTCCTGCCCCCTACTAATGTTTGCCTTTTTTGGGTGGATCTTTTCTTTCCTTGGTGTCTTTCTCCACACAAAGAGAAAGAAAACGCCAAGTTTGCCTCTCTTCCTTTTAGCATAATAGGGACAGAAAAAAAGATGAACCTTTTATCTTTTTGCCTTTCTTTTCTTTCTCCTCTAGTAACTCCTTCCCTTATTTTTGTAGCTTTTGTGAACCCTGGTCATCCCTAGTGGGAAAGGTGGTGTCTGTGCCCCTCTGCTTGACTCAGGTTTCCCTTCTCTGGGATGCCTCCCCAGCCCATCCCTGCTCTCTTCATTCCTTCAGTGACTTGTCCTGCTATCCCCTTGGCTGTTTTTGGCCCAGAGGATCCCTGCATCTCCCATACATTAGCTTTCAGTGCCCACTTCAGCCAGCACTCTGAGTATAAGAGCTTAGAACCACCAAGTCACCTGGAAAGAGAAAATGACTTTAAATAAAGCATTAGCCAAATACGATCATACTTTATAACAAAAATTTATTAGGATTAAGTCAAATTAGAAAACTTCATGTTCCATCACTTATCATATTTACCTGAAATGACAAAATTATACTTAGCTTGAGTATAAAACAACTTGTGCCCCAGAGATTCTGTTTGGAAAGCAAAACAACAACAACAACAACAACAACAACAAAAAACCGATGCACATAGCAGTGTGCCTGATACCACCACAGTGAATGTTTAAGGCCTAACAGTGGTCAGCAAAGCATACATTACTTTTAAGCTTTGGGTCCAAGGAAGATGTCATTCCCTACCTCCTTCAAAAGCAGACTCATCATAGCCTGGGCACCTAGGCCTGGAGTCTATTTTTTGGAGTGTAATATGAACATCTGGATTTCAAGAGGCGCTAGACTTGAGGTATCTTTATGGCTTAAAAGGCACAGGTCCTGCAGCTGAATTAAAAGCTATCTTGTTGGTCTCTGGAATGTAGGCCATGAGCCATGCCTTGTTAGGGGGAGTCCTAAGGGCCTGTCTTTGGCTCCTCAGTGTAACCCACACATCATTGGCTCCGTTCCTGTCGCCCTGCTCTTGCACCGCTCATCAGCTGTGAATGCTGGAATTGGAGGACAGGTTGGGGCTCCTGCACAGTCTGCTGCCAGGTGGAGAGCAACATGGGCTGCAGAATCCTACCTTCCAGCATACGGAGACAGGGGGACCTGCTGCACAGCCAAGAAGTGACTCACATGCAGGCAAGGACGGGAAGCCTTGTTCTTCAGGCACAATGTGGTATGGGGAGAAGAAACCTGCTTTTCTTGGAATGGTCCTACCAAGCTTGAAAGTGGTGCTGCATTTAGTGCAGAGCATACCCGGCCATAGGCAACCCCTTTGAGCGATGGGAGAAGTAGCATAGGAAGGATGCCAACAAGAACAATAGGTTCTTCAACTCAGCATGGACTCTGGGAAGCCATCAGCAGTGGGTACGGAACACTTCTCTGGGCTCTGCCCTGGGGTCACTGAGAGCAAATGGGAGTCAAGTCCTCAAAATAAGAAACTTATCACTTACTAAATAGCTGTACATTCCCTTCAGCTTAGGAGCCAAATGTTTACTCTCAGAAGCTTTCTTTTCTTATTTTTAAACTCTCCCTAGTGGAGGGAATAAAATCCAGAATAGAAGTGAAGGGCCTAGAGAGCTGCATATGCAGCAGAAATGCCCTGAAGACCCAGCACAGCTGTCCCAGCCTCCAGCAGCTAGACTCCTGATACCCCCATCCCCACCCCAGTCAATCCAGTAATCAAAATGGCTGCTGTCAAAAAACTAAATTCATTTGCATAATAGAGAGGGATAATAAATTCTCATTTCTTCAGGCACCAGAGGATCCATGTGACAAGGCTTTGATTCTCTCCAATTTATGCTCTTAATACATTTTCCAGCCTCTCCCCTATACTGCCTCATCAGCTTGGCTTGTATTCCTCAGTGAGCCTTGCATTACTTGTGATTACATCTGTACTCTTCATGCCAATTAATTCAACTGGGATTGACCCGAAGTTTGCTCAAGCTTGAGTTCATAGCCTCCCAGGCCAAGGTCTCCCTCATAAATGTTTTCCTTGCCTGGCATCTGGGGTGAAGCTTTCTGGTCCAGACCTAGCCTTGCAGGAGGACTGCAGGGTGAGGAGGCTTGCTCCTGGTAATGTATGGCTAGTTCATCCTGGTTTACAATGCATTCCACATCATCATCTTTTAGCTGTTCCTGGTTGGGAAAAGAGAGAGAGGTGTCACTTCATGATGAAGGCAGAAAACAATAGCAGTCCTACAATGTGTTTTTTTTTTTTTTTTTTTAATAGAATGCATGTTTTTCTTTCTGTAACTGCCCTGCCTGGCCTTGGCTGATGTTTCTGCTGCAGGCATGGTACAGCCTTTCCCTGAGTCAGCATTGAATATCTGATGCTGTATAGCCATAAGGGGTCTCTAAGCCTGAGGTAAGAGGCGTTGAAGAGCATGCTACTTACATTCCTCCTTGGGTTAAGGATATTTCCACCACTGGTATTAACTAGGGTTGACAAGAATTAGGAGTTAGCATAATCCTATGATCTCAGAATACGGGAAGATTCTCATGTTGGTTCTGTAACATTCCTGCCTATCAAAAAGTCCTCAAAACACAGTTATTGCTACTTTTTTTGGTTGTTGTTTTAGACAGAGTCTCACTCTGTCATCCAGGCTGGAGTGCAGTGTTGCGATCTCAGCTTACTTCAACCTCTGTCTCTGGGGTTTCAGTGATTCCCCTGCTTCAGCCTCGCGAGTAGCTGGGATTACAGGCATGTGCCACCACCACATCTGGCTCATTTTTGTATTTTTAGTAGAGACGGGGTTTTGCCATGTTGGCCAGGCTGATCTTGAACTCCTGACTGCAAGTGATCCATCCACTTTGGTCTCCCAAAGTGCTGGGATTACAGGCGTGAGCCACCATACCTGGCCTCCTGTTACATTTTACCTTAAAAGTGTGTCTTCTCAGCATATTTCTTGGGATTAGTATCACAAGTCTAGAAATGGCTGGAAGTCACCATAGTGGATAATGCTAGAAGCTAACTGGATCTGACTAATAATAATTTTTCCCATACAGAGGCTCCCTTGAAAGAATTAAGATCCCAATTCTTCTTCTATTGGCTTTGGGAAGGCCATACTAAACTACTTGTAGGATGGGCCTTCGCTGGGGGATTTTAGGGCAGTGGTTTCCAACTTTAGCCTGTCCCAGGATCACATGGAGGGCTTGTTAAAATACAGATCATTGTTCAAGCTCAGAGTTTGTGAGGCAGGGCCTGAGAGTGTGCATTTCTAGCAAGTTCCCAAGTGAGGCTGCTGGTTTGGAGACTACTGTTTGAGAACCACTGCCTCAGGCTTCTGTGCCCTGAACACACCTGAGATGAGTTTTTGTTTGTGTACAGGGGTAGCCAGCTGGATACTTCTAAGGGCGCTTGCAACCCTAAGACTGCGCACTTCTCCAATTCCCTGACCTCTGATTTGTTGGTAATGGTTCTAAGTGCCTCTCAGCATTTTTCATTCCACTCCCTTGAGTCATAAAGCACAGGCCTAATATTCAAAACCTCAAAACACTGCAGTTTGTGAGGATGCTTCTTTTACATTTTCTAAGGTCATTTTATGGTTAAAAATATTGGTAACAATAAAAAAGAATAAGCCAACATCAGCAACAATTGATAAGAGAAATGCTTCCTGGCGCAGTGAATTTTTAAAAAATGCTTCCTCCTCAATCCTGCAAGTAGCAGGCTTTTTGAGGTTCCTGGGCTCATCGATATTCACCAAGTCTGTCCCACAAGGGCTACCTCACCCCAGAGGCCTGAGATTTACTTACCCCATAGGCTTGAGGACTGGTAAGCAGCCTGGAAATTGGACCACACCATTCAGGTAATGTTGTAGTCAGCGGGGGACCAGAGTGGGTTAAAATTGGTTTCAGATATCTGGGAGGGCTGTTAAGGAATACTTGTCAAAAGGGAGTTAGGATTTAGGAATCTCACACAGCACAAACCTTTGTATGCTGAGACAGCTACATTTGCCTTTAAATCCCCTACTCCCTCACTTAGGAAGCAATTTGCCCTGCAAAAATTGCTGTTTATCATCTTTGCTACACATACTTTTCCAGCCTTCCTGATAGCCTTTAATCATGAAGAAATGGTGAATGGCCCATGCTGCATTAGAAGTATAAATGTGCTCTTCCCATCCTATCCCCGACTCAATGTCTCATCTGCTTAGAGAATGCATTCTTAAGAATTACCTTAAACGATAACATAAAAGATTGTCTTTTCTTAAAACTGCACACACACATAGCTTAAACTGCCAGTAAGTTTTACAAAGATGCAAGAGGTATTTTACAAAATGTTCAGTTATTTTAGAGCTAGGTAGTGAACATAGATTGTTTTCCAAAATACTTAATTTTCACTATTCAACAGTCACTTTATACTTCATACATCAATGGATTTCTATACAAAATTATGTAAATAAGTTGGTGCTGGGTTTATTCTATCGTCTAGCACCTGTCTTTCTCATCTCTTCATTCCAAAGTGCTCTAACAAGTTAAGAGAAAAACTTGTTCAGCTAAAGCCATTGTTTCCCTCCAGTCTATCAATAATGAAATCCCCAGAGCTGCCTCAGGTTGCCTTGAGTTTTTTTGCTCAAAGGAAAGCAGTGGAATTATTTCACCATTCCATCAGTAATGCCTTTTAAGCTTTATATTACTTCCTCTGCTGGAGAATATTTCACTTCATCAGCTTTCCAAAAAGCTATGGTAAATAGGGAAACGGAAAGAATGGAGAGGAGTGATCACTGGTTGGATCGTGAAGATCCGCAGCTGCGCTCAGGCACTCAGGGCATGAGAAGATCTTGGAGATGCCTCTAGTGGAGTCCATCCATAGCTGGATAATTCACATGCCATTCTCATGATGCCCTGAGCATGTGGGCATAGAGGGAAGATGCAGCCCAGCGGAGGCCAAAGAGTCTGGTACTTCTGGCTTGATGCATTTGTCACCAAAGCAGGCCATGCACCTGAATGAAGCCTTGTTATGATGCGGGGAGAGTGACTGGGAAGATGTTAGGAGGGCCCGCCATTCCAACCCTAAATAGAAAAGTTGATCCCTCCTTTCAGATGCGCAGCTGTTGTGCCCAGTTAGGCGAAGATATTAAAGTTCAGAGCCTGGTATTGGGTGTAGTATCTTGTAAATATATCTACAAATCTGAAAAACTCTTGATGTTCTTTTAATTTTCATTAGTGTTATTTCCTTCATTTTAGGTATGAAGGAATTAAGGCCTAGGGATATAATTGTAAATAATCCAAAGGCTCCCTCTGCTATCTGAATCCTCCAGTGTCACCCCTAGAAGACAATTCTCAGGGCAGGGTCATGGTTTGCAACCAGCTGGGTTTTTCTGGAGAGCAAAGCACAAGATCTCGCCCCTGCTGGGGCGCTGCAGACTCAGGCTGGGGTATGTGGTCTTTCTGGGGTTTACAGTATGTGTGGGTCAATAAAAATGTCTTTATGGAGGCGAGGTGGACAAGATATATGTACAACTGGAGTACAAATTTAAAAAATCCAGCCCAGGCCGGGCGCGGTGGCTCACGCCTGTAATCCCAGCACTTTGGGAGGCCAAGGCGGGCGGATCACAAGGTCAGGAGATCGAGACCATGGTGAAACCCCGTCTCTACTAAAAATACAAAAAATGAGCCGGGCGCAGTGGCGGGCGCCTGTAGTTCCAGCTACTCGGGAGGCTGAGGCAGGAGAATGGCGTGAACCCAGGAGGCGGAGCTTGCAGTGAGCCAGGATCACGCCACTGCACTCCAGCTTGGGTGACAGAGCGAGACTCCGTCTCAAAAAAAAAAAAAAAAAAATCCAGCCCATTTTCTTTCCAGGTGGAAAGATGGAAAAGTGACAGCAAGTAAGCAACATTTTTAGTGATGCCATGTTAAAAGAAAAGAAAAAGTTTATCAAGGCTCTGAGCTTGAAAGAGGCCTGAGCAACTTCTACTGAGAGGCTCAGCACACTGCAAAAGCCAAAATAATGTTACAAAAGTAAAATATAAGTTTAGGATTGTTTAGTGAACACCCTTAAAAAATCCTGATGAGGTTATCTCTTTAAATCTATGCCTAGTAGTGCTCCTTTATTTATGGTTTCACTTTTCATGGTTTTAGTGACCCACGGTCAACCACAGTCCAAAAAAATTAAATGGAAAATCCAGAAATAATTCACAAGTTTTAAATTGTGCGCCATTCTGAGTTGAGTGATATCTCACACTGTCTATTCCACCCCACATGGGACATGAATCATCCCTTTGTCCAGCGTACCCATACCGTCTACACTACCTGCCTGCTAGTCACTTAGTAGCCACTGTGGTTATCACATTGAAAAAGCATAGTGTATACAGAGCTTAGCATATGTGAGGTTTCAGGCATCCATGGAGGTCTGGGAACATATCCCTGGCAGATAAGGGGGTACTACTATACAATGCTATTGGAGTAAATGCTTAAAGGCTAAATGTGTAGCTTTTAGTTACTATGAGGACTAAACCAAACAGGATCACTTGGCTCCCTCTGTGCAGGCTCTGGGATTTTGACTCATACCCAGGCATAAATGCCAGCCCTGCCACTTTACTGACCATGTGGCCTACTTATTTATCCTCTGAGCCTCAGGCTTTGTTGTGAATATTGACTGAAATAGCATATGTAGAAATGGTTTTAAACCTTGATATGCTATAAAAATGCTACTTACTTAAAAAAACTGAGTAATGTTTTCCAGAGAAACTGGTGTCTCATTGTTCGATAATGATGGGAAAATGATACTGAAGGTAGAGATAAGAGCTTTGTGCTCCAGTCAGTTGGTGTAGCACCCAGATTCATGGACTACTAAGTGGATGGAAAATTTAAGGTGGTTCAATCCCCCTAAACAGCTATTTTTGTTAAAATTTATTGTACAGGGGGCTAGCATGAGGTGGTGAGAGGTGGGTAGAATTATTTGATGTAAGACTGTCCTGGGAATTTTGTGGCATCATTTTGCCTGTCCTGGTATCTCAGTAGCTGTGAGTCAAAGGAGGCATACCCTCTGTGGCCGTGAACGGGATACACAGGGCGCCGTCTGCAGCCACAGAAAATGTGGAGCAGAGTCTGTTCTCCAGCATCTTGGTTTGCCCAGTGCTTGCTATATATTATGTGCTCAATGGATGTTTGGATTTAGAATATAGGGAAATATTCAGGGGTGTATGAGGGATGGAAGTAGATTCGGAGGAACAGTGCCAGAGAAGAATGAAGGGGCAGATTACAGCCAACAAATGAGTTTTCTGAATGCTAGAAACCTAAGAAAGGTGAAATCAAAGTTGGACTACTTGGGCCTGAGTTATCAGGCAAAGGGGACCTTAGGAAGAGTGGTAGTGGCATAAAATAAGGCGATTTAGAAAAACGTTTTCTTTCACTCACTCATTCATTTGTTCCATCATACACTCACAGGTTTTGTTTCATGTGCCAAGCCAGTAAGGAACAGAGACAAGGCACCCACACAAGGAAAGGAACCATTACATTACAGAAAGGAAAATTCCCTTTTCTCCAAACTGTGGTTTCCTGAAGGCTGTCCCCTTCACCTGGATAGTGTGGCACTTCTTAGATACTTAAGAAATAGTAGAAGGCAACAGGCTCAGAGAGGGTAAATAAATGGTTCAATGGAAACTGCTGATTAGTTTATAGCAGAGCTGGGCCTGAGTTCAGGGACTCTTCTACCACACTGAGCTATCCTCCTTCTGTTACAACAACACTGAGTAACGGAACTTGCCTAATTGGATAACCAATTTGGAATTGGGGACATCCTGACTTCTTCATTGCTGAGCAATGTCTGGAAAGTGGCTGGATCTCCAGGGTTACCTGAATTATTAAGAGGTAAGAAAACTCTTCTGATCTATTAAAAAACCCCAAACTGCAGATTTCGCAAAATGTGTTATTTTTGTCATCCGCTTCCAGAATGGGGAGGGAGGTTTCCCATTGGGAATTTTTAATATGACTAGTTTTGCTTCTCTAATAAGCCAGAAATGCATTGAGACAAAAAATGTTCAGCTCTGGGGGAAAAACAATGACTTTTCTCATCTTTAAAGGGCATAAGTTTGAGAATAGCAGTATGGTTCAGGAGGTGTAAGTAAAAGCTGGAACTCTACCCAGAATTTAACTTGTGTGAAATAGGAAAGACAGTTAGCAAGTGCATTTTCTCCTTTGGTCTGGGCTATCAGCAGGTCCAGAGTTAAATTTGGTGTTTAACTGAATAACATCCAAAACACCTGACGACATTGATTTATCTTTTGTTGTTGTTTGCTTTAAATCCTCATGTTTTGTTCATTGTATATTGCTGAAACCAATGGGCGCACAGCTTGCTTAAACCTATGGCTTGTATGGTGTGGCTTTGCATAGATTGGTGAGAAGCAAAAACCCCAAAGATTCAGCTCCACAAATGAGCACCTGGTCCTTTGAAGGACTAAGTCCCATTGCACCTATGTGGACTGAATGTCTGCATCCCCCCACCCTCTAACATAGCTAGGGTTATGTCGAAGCCCTAGCCCTAAGGTGTGATATTTGGAGATGGGGCCTTTGGGAGCTAATCAGGATGGGGCCCTTATGATGGAATTAATACCCGTATAAGAAGGGATGCCGGAGAGTTTGTTCTCTCTGTCCCTCTTCCCACCTTCCACAAAGAGGTCATGTGAGACCACAGCAAGAAGGCAGCCATCACCAAGACCTGACCACTCTATTCTTCCAGCCTCCAAAACTGAGAAAATTTCTGTTGTTTAAACCACCCAATCTATGGTATTTTGTTATGGCAGCCCAAGTAGACTAAGACATCACTTTTCTTGGGCCCTCTTTAAAAATCTTTACTTTTAGAACCCTGTGGAGCTGTGTTCTATTTTTCTCTGAACTTGCCTCATCATGAAAATCATCTAG